TCTTTTGAAGAAATGCTTTTATTAATAAAGCTAGCATACCACTGCCCAGTATCTCAGGAAATGCCATGCATAATAAGCTAGTTGCTGTTACTCAGAGGTCTGTATTCCACTGCGGATGTTACAGGCTATCAAATTTTCATATTTTCTAAGCCTGCTCAAGCAGAAAGAAAATTGCTACAGAAAACAACTAAATCATATGGTTTAGACCTTTTGTATCCAATAGCTTATTTTATGCTTTTTTCTTAAAGGCAACTGCAATTACCTTTAATTCCTTCTCCCCAGAACATTATTCCCATAAAATGACTCCTTTGCCTTCATGTAAATATGAAATAATTCCTGTGAAAAGCACATTTTTGCTAAGGCATTTCAAATTCTACTAAATTACCTACTAAGATAGCTTATTATGTGAAAAAGCATTCCTTCTCCTTGGACAGCTTTTTAAGGGGGAAAACCTTCCTATGAAGTTCACTGGCATTAAGGATATAGTTTTTAAGGTATTTCCTTTAAGGTATTGTAAGCAAAGAGAGCATCTTACTATATACATATATATATATATAATCTTTAATTGGAATGGTTTCTTTTTGTTTCATCTGTGACTCAACAGCAAACCCCACCTACTGTGTTATTCACTGCACCTGTACCCAATCATTCCACTCTTGTAAACCCTTCTCAGGCTGAGCACAGACACAAACTGTAACAAGGCCACAAAAAGGGAACAGACTCCCACACTCTGCTCTCCTTTGCAGCATATTTGTATTTTCCTCACAGACAGACACAACCCTTCTACCTGCAGAGAACCAACTGCCTCCTCTATTTCAATAATTCATCATACAACTCACATCTGATTTTTCAGCCATTCCTAAGTAGCCCAAAACAAACACTGCCACACTCTGATAAGGTACCAATGTTCTGGCAAACAAGCTTAGTAAATAAACTACTTTACACAGTTTGTCAGACAGGGTAAGGGGATGGGCAGTATGTTTTTCCCCATGCCTTTCCCAGGTTTGGGTAATAAAAATGGAGTTATTTAAATCTCCATCTAACGTCATACATGTATGAGAATAGTGTGCTAACATCCCTCTCTTATCTTGCACTACCAATGAAAGCCCAACCACAGAATGCTCAGAAGGTGCATGTAATTACAGACAGAACACTTGGTATTATACTAAAGCATTTAAAACCTGCTTTGTGGCATCAGGAAATAAACACAAATATTGCAGCAAGGAACCTCAAAGGAGCAAAGGAGCAAAACTATCATTTTAAATCAAGATCCTGTGAAATAAGATACAAATATGATAACAGCAAACTTTGAAAAAATATTATCTTTGGCTTAGTGACCTGTAGGATAAACATGCATTTCTTCCATCAAGGGAAACTCATTAAGACTTCCTGTTATGAAGTGGCTTGGCTCAAGCAAACTAGGGTGAAAAACAAATCCATATGTAAGCAAGGAGGGACAAGAACAAAACCAAGCAATACACTTAAAACCATCAGGCTAGCAGGTTTGAGAGTTAGTGACCAGAGTCCAAGAGAGCAGCGAGTCCAAGCAGATTTGCCAAAATGAGGTGTTTTTTCATCAGTTAGTTCCCTTGGACAGGGAGTGAGAGCCTGCAGACACCCAACAGAAGTTATCACACCCAGCCTCAGTTCAGCTTTTCCTGTACTGGAACCTCTGTAACATCTGGGTGAAACCGTTTCACACATCTTTAGCCCCACAGCTGAGCAGTAAAATTAATTCACAGTAATTAAACACAACACAGGTGGGTTCTGATAATATTAAGCAAATTCACTACCAGTTTAGACATCAGAAAAGGACCACCCTACACATGCTTCACATCAAGAACAGCAGGGTACAATTTGGAATCAGGAGTGGATTTGTGTGGCCTTAACTTACAACAATAAAAACCACATGCAAACTCTGACTCTTTTTAAGGGAGCTAGGGAAGCTCCCATATAAACCCAGGATACATGATCACTAGAAGCACCTTCCACAAAAAGAAGGTTAGGGGTTGTGACAGGTTATATCTGAATCTGGAAAAACCTAGAAGGAAGTAATTCATTTAAATGGTAAGGTGGGGTGAGTGGGTGAAACTGATCCTCATTCCCTGTGTGTCAGAACAGGGAGTCAGAGCTACAATGAAAAGGAAAATCCAGGAATTAATTTCAAATGAACATTCTGTCAGCTCAAAGTGAGAAATTCACCATTCCTGTCACTTCTTGGTTGTGCCCATTCAGTAGTGGGAACACACAAGGTGTAGGCCTTTCTACCAGTATCAGCTCCCACACTCTCCCTGGCAGAGAGCCACCACATTTTCCACAAACTAAAAACCTGATACTTAACACATTTTAGCCCTTCAAACATGAAGTTTGAATGATTTGGCAGGTCAGCTGACAGCACAGCTTTACAGCAACTGAACAGGGGCATGAACAAAAAGGTGGCACACTGGAGTGTCAGATCTTAAATAATTTTGCTTTCAGAACAGTCCTTCAGCTCTTTGTAGATGAACATCCAGCAGTGAGGCACAGAAAAGGTCCTTCTTCTCCTACAGCTTACGTTTAAAAATATTTTCTTTTTTCCACTGAATGCAAGCATGGTAAAATTTATCTAGAAAAGGTCACATCTGGGTCAGCCTTTGATTTAGCCACTTATCAAAATTTCTTATTCTTTACATGTCAAATCAAATATTTTTCAAAGAAAGACAGTTTCTGTGCATAAAGAGCAATTGTGCAATGTATCTCTGGTGCCATTACTTTAATTTATTTTACTACAGAGGGTTCAGTACCATTAATCACAACTGAAGTATTAGAACATCTCCTTCTAGTGCTTCCTTTCAAAAAAAAAAAAAAAAAAGACGACAAAAGACAAGTGACTTCCTCCTTATTAAATTTAAATACCAGACAGTCATGGGTAAGGCAAGAGCAGGAGAAACGATACAGCTGCACACAGAGAATTACTGCTACTCCAAAGGGGCCTGATGCTGCCTACAGCTTGTTTCTCCCTCTGTGCCAGAGCCTCTCTTGTGCCAGACAGCTACAGGAGCAGAGCCACTCCAGCTCAAAGGCAACCAGTCCTGTGATGCAGCTCCAGCAGCTCTGTCATCCCTCCTGCCCCAGCAGCCTGGGGCTGTGTAGGTGTCCAGATGTTTGCTGAGGTCATGCTCTCCCTCCATTCTCAGCCGCAAGTTCCTGCTTTTCTGTCACATCCTACCTCTCACAAGAAGTCCTATTTGCTGAGGAAACTTTAAAGGGTTTGGAACAACACACTAGGTGTTTTGAATATAACATAAAAAGGTGTCCTGGGGTGACTTTAGGATGCTAGTGAATAGAAACATTCAGACAAAGCTATCAGACAAACAGAGTTTTTGCACAAAACAGCCCCTAACAGCGAGACAGCTGCTCTTGTACCAGTGTAACAGGCCCATCAGCTTCTCCTCCTGCTCAGAGAGAGGCACAAAATACTGTGGAAGAGAATGTGGCTGGCAAAGCTGGGACAAACAAACCTGTCCTGTTTTTTATTACATGCACTTTTAAGAATGATAAGTTGCTATGTTTTTGCTCTAGTCTGCTTTGGACACAGACTCCTTTCTCACCAGTACACTGACTGCCTTCCACTCCCTTCTGCCACAATTGCATCAACAGTCTCCTCCCAGTTCACGGTTTAACACTACCTAACCCAAGTCAGAAAGTGCAGCCAACAACAAGGTTTTCATTTTTCTAGTCCCTACTTTTTATATTCACTTTTTCTTGTCATCACTTAGTCCAGTGTTACTGTAATATGCATAAAGATACTATTTTCAGAAAAAAACTGACATCTGACAACTAACATCTGTAGTTCTTCATCTCTTGATGCCCAATCCATAAAAACTACCTACTTGTATCCCTTAAATCTAAAACCAACACTGTGTATTCATCACTGCACACAGAGGTACCTCTGTTTAGAAACTGCTAAAACTTCTAATTATGAGGCTGCTGTCACTGACCAAATACTACACTGCTGATTACTGCTGCCCTTCAGCCACAGGATGACAGCTACACACACAGCTTTTACAAGAGCAATGTAATGGTCAATAGCGACTGAGACACTAAGGCATGCAAATATAATGTGTTGGCAAATGTCTGAGTTAACCATAATAGTATGACAGCAGCATGAAAAGGCATCAGTGCAATTCTAAAGTAAACAGGATCTTAGTCCTTAGATCAAACTGTAAAACATGTCTCTGATGTTCTCTTTTTCCTCTCCCACTTTTTGCTACCAGCAAGGTCACAGTCAGCTGAGTAATGACAATGGGCTTCTTTTCCACTCCTCCACCCAAAGGATACTAACTAGACCACGGGATAGAGACAAACCCACCAGAATTGTTTCACATTGATTGTTGTGAGTCCCTCACCACAGTCCTGGAGCCACCAGAGACCTTCCTTGCCATTTAACCACAATCAGAGAGCACTGTCAGGAGTGCTGCCCATCAGCTGAGCTCTGCCAGCGGCCACACAGCTCTCGGGCTGCTCCAGCTGCCAGGAAGGGCGCTCCAAGGAAGCGAGGCACGATCGAAACAAGTGTGACTGCTGCTGGTGACACGACAGGGTAGGTGCACCTGCAGTAAAACTGATCAGCCAAACCCGTGACTTGTGCACATCCCAAACACGAGCGGCTCCGCACACACCACCTCCTCCTGCTGGCAGAATTCCAAGCAGAACACACACCCACCCAATAAATTCTACCAGCACGGGTACGAGCATTAGGAAGGCAAGTTTAAGAAAGCGACAGGACATGAGCCACCGCCTCTGAGGCCTCCGCGCACGGCCCCGCTCCAGCTCACCCGGCACCCACAAAGCGCCGCCGCGGCCCTTCCGAGCCCTCCCCGGCCGGGAGCCCGGGACAGCCCGGCCCTTCCCGGGACGGCCTCGGGCCAGCGCGGCCGCAGCACCACTACCGAGCCCGACCCGGCCTCGGGCCGCTCCCCGCTCCCCGCCAGGCCGGAGGCCAGAGCCCCGCCACTCACGCATGAGGGTGCTGAAGGCCACGACGCCCAGGAGCCCCTGCAGGAAGATGCCGAATCTGTCCATGAGGGCGCCGTTCTCGCAGCCGCGGTCCCCGGGCCCCGGCGCCCCGGCGGGCCGCGGGGTGCCGGCGGTGAGGCCGAGGCTGCCGTTGGGCGGCGGCGCCCCCATGGCGAGGCCCGGCCGGCGCCCTCAGCGGCGCATGGCGGCCGTGCCGGCCCCGCTGCCGCTCCGCTCCGCTCCGCCCCGCTGCCTGCGCTGCCTGCCCGCCCCGCCGCGTCACCGCCCCGCCCCTCGGCCCGCCCGGCCCTCAGCGCTCCGCCCGTGACACGGACAGCGACCGGCCCCGGGGGCAGGGGGCTCAGCCGCAGCGCTGCGCTCGGGCAGAGCCGGCTGAGGAGCACGGCAGAGGAGGGCCCGGTGCTGCGGGCAGCTGCCAAACACCGTCTCCAGCATCCAAACACCGGCTCCCCGTCTGGCTCCAGTGCCCACCCCCTTTTCTAAACCGCGCCACAGCCCCGAGGAATCCCCGGGTAAGAGCCACAGCACCGGAGGTTTCGCTTAGCCCAGACCGCACAGGGTCAGGCAAGGCTGCTATCACCCCAGCAAGACGAAAGTATGACCTGGGTTCTTTAGCAAAAATATTTCATCCTGTAAAGGGCAACCCCTGGCCCAATGGATTAAACAAAACATGCCAGCGCTTTCATTTGGAAAACTATGAAACTGGGCCTGTTGGCCAGTGAGCCTCAACTGGCCCCATTGTGCTGTATCCCTCTTCATCCTCACCAGCCAGAACGGCATCAAGTTTAGGCTCTTATTTTTAGTGCGGGATCAACCCAGGTCATGTTGCATTGTATGGCTTTCTTACACAATTTATATAATTTCTTTAAATAATTTAAAATTCCTGTCTAAATATGAATTCACTTATAAATATGACCTAGAAAGCACATGTTTAAGTCTATCAGAAAGCAAAGCCAAGCACATTAATCAATAGTTCTTTAAATAACATTTGTTGTGTCTACATTGCAAACCTACCTACGTGACTGTCCTTCCTGGCAGGTGATGCCAAACAGTATTGGCATACGACAGCGATTTCTCTGATTTTTAGGCTGTGTCATAAATGTCTGGAAGTTGCAGCTAGAAAAAGAAATGCTCTCAGCTCTCTGTCCTAGAGAGCACACAGGCAAAATGCTCTGTCCAGTGCCTCTGGCCCCAGGTCAGCACTCTTCTGCTCTGAGCTGCCAAAAGCAAGAGCTCAGGAAAGGAAAGAGTTACCTAACAGAAGACACGGACCAAAGCAGGTTGCTTTTTCTCCCCCTTGCACACAGGTGGTAATAGCCATCAAGCACTGCATTTGCAACCTGGACTTGACCTATTTGCTTGTGGCCCAGGGTGGTTTTTTAGCTTTCACAGCTGCTGCTAAACATTAGACATCCCACACACGTACCTGACCTTAACCCCAATACTGGTTAAAGATTTACCTAATACTATTTACACACCAAACCTATGTTTCAGACATGAATCTGGAAACATAACTCAAAGGGCTTATGCCTCATGTTCCTCCATATTCCATGCTTTATACCAGATCATTCCCCCAAAATGCCTCTTGAAGGGTTTCATCTCACCATGACTCCTATAAGCCCTTCTGAAACCTGCGGCAGACAAATCATTGCCTCCTGCTATGTACTATTCACAAGCCTTCAGATTTCTCTCAAGCAGACAGTGGTCTGTGAAGGCAAGTAGAAGATTTTTGTTAAATCCTACATATTTATAGAGGTCTAAAGACAGTGTTAAGCAAATCAGTTTCATCCCACTCCTATGCATTTTCTGCACCCAGTGTAAAATCAGCTCAAGGTAACTGAAGTGCAGCCAAGAAACAAGTGCTGAGTACAATCTGTTGGAATGCCAAGTAAGGAAACAAGAACTTTGCAAGGCAAAGTTTTCTGAAATATCTCATGTTATTCAGAGGAAGCAAAGCCAGCCAGTTTTAAAATTTCAGCTTGCTGGGATAGCAGTAACCTTTACAAAACCATCCAGGAGCTGCAGCACATGCAGGGTTTGCAGTGGATTGTATCAAGCAGCTTCCAAGGCTCGAAGAAGGCAATAAAAGAAAATTACTCCAATTTGTAGGTCCTGTCCTCAGCTCTTGTATATTAATTGGATTCAGCATCCTGTGAAACAAAACCTGTTACCTTAGAAGAAGCTTTGATAAAGAGGACTCCTGCATTTGAGGGAACTGAATAAACCCAATCAAGCTCTTCAACATGAAGCCTCTCCAAGTGGTATTTATGTGGCATTTACCTTATATGCAAGTAATGGAACATGCCAGACAACTTTCCACAGTTTTCCAAGATGGAAAATTGCTCATGATCATCAGCAGTATTTATAATATTGATACCAAAGTCATCAGTAACAGTTTAAGTATCTTTTTTAATTTTCTTACAACCACTTAAAACTGTCATATAACACAAACTTTTGTACACTATTTACAGACAAAACAAGTAAAATATCCATCCAAAATATTTTTTAAAAAAATCCTCTGATTAAATTGTTACACCTGCTCAAACAATGGTGGGACTTAATAGGCATATTTACTTGTGCATGTTTCTCTTCCATGTAGTACTTCAGTCTCACTGCATATATATTTTTTCTTTTAAAAGATAAAGAAAGATAAAACAAGCAGAAGGGACACAACACAATATGCATTTAAATCTTTGTTTAAGAACAAGCAGCTAATTAAAAAAGGCAAAATACAGGAAAAGTGCATCAGTTCCAATGAGTTAGTATAAGAAAGAGGCCCACAGGTGTGGAGCTGGCACCCTTTTGGGTAGAGATTCCTAGAAGACCTCTGATTGTCTATAGAGATTATTTAAAATTTATTTTAAACAGAAATAAAATTAAAAAAAAAAAAGAAATTAAAAAGGAGAGGAGAAACATGACACCTCCAGATTTTTTTGTTTGTTTTGCCATGAGGTTTCTTGGAAACTGGTGCTCAACAACCTTCAGAGTGGGTGGGAATTCCTTTGTGCCCAGAGCTCAGTGCTGACCCCGTGCCACGAGCTGTCCCCAAGCCCCAGAGCTGCTCCCATTGTTTGTGCTAAGTCACTCAGACTCCACTGCCTTGGAGCTCTGTCAGCACAAGACCTGCTTGCTTCCGTGGCTTAAAGCTGAGCCAAACACTGCTGGCTGGGCACCTGGACTGAGCAACTTTGTCTTCTCATCAGAAGTCCACTTGCACGTCTGGTGCATTTCAGAAGAGATACCACCAAAATGACCATGGAGACAAAGTGTCACTAAACTCATTTTCATTGTGTTTCATACAGATTGGTATTTTGGTTTTACTATAATAAAAGAGGCTTGTTGTCTCTGGTGTTCCCAAGTCCCATTGCAATCCTTCACCCAAAAGGCTGCCTTTGAAAACAAGGCTACATGCATGTTTGGGGAAGGGCAGCAGCAATCTGAAACCAGGGGTCAGCACACAATCCCTCAGAAGGGGAGCCTTCATCCTACATCTGAAGTCTCCTGACCCAGCCCATGTCTTTGTGCTTAGTTACTTTTAGGTAATCTGAGCTCACAGTAGGCAGTAACCAGGCTGACACTTTGTGACAGGACTGGTTAAGGAGAAGCTTTGTACAGGATCATATTTTTGGCTTTCTGGTAAGGCTACTTCATCTAGTAACAACAGATTTGGTCCAAAGGTATCCAGTCTCCAACTCGAGCTCGATAGTTTTGAAGCCTATTCCATTACATTCAAAAATCTCACAAGCCACTGGGCTTTCTGCTAACAAAGTACCAAGGCTTGTACTTCACACAGAAGAATGGAGTGCTCAGTCCAATTGACTGTAAATATATTTACACTTCTGTGGACCTAGCAGCTAAATACTCCTTCCCGCCTTTAAAGCATCACTGGAATAAAGAACAAACACTAGCAAATCCTAAAACAACAACAAAATACTGCTAAAAGTTGTGACAGAGAATGTAATCTTTAAAACCACTCCCAAACTCTGTATGTACTGTTTCCATTAACCCCAGGAGAGACTGCAAACACTCCTGGAGTTCTATACAATACAGAAATTAATCTGCCTTTTATTTCATTCCTCAAAGAGGAACTTTCAGAAACGTTTAGAGATAGGAAAAAAGTAGTCTTCATTCACCAAGATCACTGCTGTACCTCTTCTCTCCTGGAAGGACTGCTTTCAGTTTAGGATGGACTGCAAGCTGCTTGTGCTTTGGGAATAATTCTACCACATTAAACCTCCATGGCATTTTTGGAGGTCAAATACTTCTCCGTTACAGAATCCTCGAGTTGGTGCAGAAAGCACACAACAGTGACCCAACAAAATCCTCCTGCCTAACAAGGCTAAGCTTAGCATAGTCAAAGTGGTACCACCAGGTTTCTAAAGCTACGATGTGCAAACCCAAGACTGCACAGTGCATGTGAAAATATGACAAGCAAGAACACAAACCCTCAGTGGGTCAAGCCAAGGGTAAACTCCTGTTACCAGCCACATTAACAGTACACAAGGCTCAGTGGAGAGTTCATTTTCTTGTACTGGAGATATTTGTAGGACATCAGTGCCTTTCTCCTGGACTCCAGCTTTGTGGTACTGTATGGTGAATTATGTGCTAGAGGACAGCACAAACCCCTGAACCCTAAATTACTGCAGTCCCAGCGACTTCTGATGGTGAAACGTTGCTGTCACCCAAATCAAAGATTCAGCCACCAGCTACACACAATCCAGTTTTAGAGAAACAGAGTGACTAAAGCAGCACGTGAGCTCATTTCAAGTCATATTGGAGTAAGATGAACAAGTGCAGTTGTGTCATCTGCCACACACAGAGAAAGAGGAACTTGAAACAGAGTCAAGTAGAAACACCATCCATCAAGATAAAGTCCCAATTATCCCTTTTAAATCCAGCAATAAAACAGAGTGCATTTTTTTCCAGGAAACAGAGTGTACAGTACCCGTGTGCAGCATAAAAACATTTCACAAATAATGAAAACATCCCTTTTGAAAATCTCAACAAAAATAGATCCCATTGGGACCAGACTGTCAGTGCCTCCCAAAACAAGGCAGAAAAATCCAGCCTATAAAACATGCCAAAGGTGACCAGTGAGTATCCCACTAATGGCTGAAACTGCTGACTGCTTTATTTACTGAGAAAAGGAAGTATGACATTTGTATTTAAAACCCCAGGCACCATGATAACAG